TGAAGGGTCCCTTGGGAACAGCCCTGGTCGTGCCTCCCTAAAACTGCTGCCTCTCAGCAGCAAGCATGAACCCATTCCTCCACCTCCTCCTCCCAAATTCCCACTGGGTCTTCTGCTCCCCAAGGAATACCCTGCCATCACTCAAGCTGCATCACATGCTAATTGCAGGTTGAACTAATCTGCCTTCTTTCCCCATCCTTTATGGTCCGAAGATGAATTATGTTTCAATAGCCTGCGAATGAGCTGGAGGCAGAAGGCCAGCTGCATTTTTCCCTCCTGCAGCTGTTGATGCTGACAGAGGAGATGGCACTGCAACCTGGGAAACAGAGCCTTTGCTGAGCCCCAGGTGAAGCACTAGAGATTTTCCCTGCAGTTACCTTTATTATCCTTCCTCTGGAGGAGACGGTAACCGACCACGAGAAGAGCTCAACGAGCTAAAACCCACCTTCCTTAGTGCCCAGAAGAGAGCTAAATGCTAGAGAGTGCACCTCTTTCCCATTCCCTCCCAGGAGACACTGGACTGTCCACACAAAGAGTTTGCTAGAACAGTCCTTGTGCTTGTTTCAGGTCTGACCTGAAATCTACTGAACCACAGGCAAAAATCTGGGGATGGCACAAGGTTGGGGATGGCACAAGCTTTTGAGTTCTGCTTGTTAGGATGCTCCCTGGCAGGCAGATGGGTGAATGCTGTGGCTGGTGAAGGGTGTCTCCACCCTTCTGTGTTGGCACGATGCTCCCAGGAAGACCACCAGTGTTAGGAAGAATGAACACTGGCAAGAGGTTGCACCATCCCCTGGTCCACCAGGCATTTTGAAATCAGATGCCTGTCATTCAGCCAAACAGCAAAGGTCTCATTTCCTATCTTGCCCCTGCTGGCATCTCTCTCCTGTTGATTCTTGCTCCACTGCACATGCCAGGATTCTCTAAAGGACAAAGTCCAGTGTTTGTTAGACGTTTCAGAGACGTTTACATCACATGGACCTCCTGTAGACCTCCTGCCGTGGACAAAGCACCCAATACACACTGATCTGTGCTTGTGGAATATTAGATTTACAAGCCAAATAGCCATGCCAAAATGTTATCAGCTTTTATCTCTCTGTCATCCCTTTGGCTGCCCTCACTGTGGGGACAACAAGAGGCATCTTGGGACAAATCTATTGCCCTCCCCCTAGCAAGCAGGACCAGGCTGTCCTACTCACTGACATACACACAAGTCCAGAGGAAACGATGCAAAATGGGGCTAAGAAAGCCAACAGCAAACAGTAGTGAGAAATACATGCGTGTGTCTTGCTGTAGAAACAGTGGAAGACTCCTGGCATGGAAGGTATGTCCATTTGATTGTTTCTACAGACTCGGGTCTGACTCCTTGAGGAGTCTGATGGGGACATCTGCCCTGTGTTCCCTTCTTTATCACCATTTTTCCATGTCCATTTTGAGTTCACTCAAATTTATCTCCCCTTTATTTAGGTGCTCCCCTTATGTTGGTCCATCTGGTCCCTGCTGCTTTTGCACATGGCTGCCATGGACCCATGAAGTGTAGGTCTTTGCTGTGGGATCTGAGGAAGTCGAAATGTATCTCTGCATTTAAGATGACTTTACTTTTAAAACTAAATTTACGCACATAACCCTAGAGCAAACTTACAAAAGGATACTTAAATTAAGACCATTAGTGTAAGCTGAAAGCTTTGCTTTTTCCCCTCTAGCAGTTTCCTGTTCCATTCTCTCTGCTCTCAAGATGCCTCTGTGCATATATTTAATAGTAATTAAAAACAATAAAATTGTTAAGAGTAGTTGCAGATCTTTTGCTAACTTGACTATGCCATCCTTACAAGCAAATTCATTCCATAAATTCAGCCGTGGTGATCAAAACAGCGAGTTATAAGCATACACCCAGTTCCATTTGTTGCTCTGAGAGGCTTGTTCTAACTCCTTCTTGATCCATTGCTGGGAGCCATTTGTTCCTTGAGCTTGTGTGTGAACTTGAAGTAAGGCTTTGTAGGGTAAAGAAATGCAAAACCTGAGTCATTCCTGAAGAGCCAGAGGGCTGATTAAGCACTGGGGAACAAAGCATCTGTAGAGCCAGAGAACCTGACACTGTGGCTCAACTGATGTCTCAGGAGCCAAAAAAAAAAAAAAAAAGAGGTCAATAAACAGATGCTGGTAGCAATAGGCTGGGAGCTATGAGGTGGCTGAGCAAGCTTTGGGTTCCTCAGTAAATACAGACAAATGCTCACCCTGACTCGCATGCGTGCATGCACGCATATGGATGTTCCATACTGTGGCAGCTCATTATAGATTCCCACAAGAAAACCATTAGGGAGGAAATTTTTGCTGTTCTGATGTGGTCGGCTTGTTCTTGTAAAAGAAAAGCTGGTCTCTCCATTTCATGCTGGTTTTGTTTTTTGGGGGGAGTGGGGAGCATTATAATGAAATAATGCTGTGACTCTATGTGTCATATTTTATCCGTCTGGATACAGTCTTTCACCGTGGGTCCAGTGAAAATGGAGCACCAAGAAAATGGAGCTTTCCAGATTTGTTCATTAACCACTGGACTGCATTGACCTGCAGAAAAAGTACGGTCAGAGGAATTTTTCTCACATCCCTGCTTTTTCTGTGTCTTCTGCCTCAGCCCGTGGCAGTCGTTGCCTGCCCGTCTGCAGAGGGCGATGCAGCATCAGTTTGACCAGACTTACGGTCCTGTGGTTTTCCATCACCCCGAGGTTGCCCGTGGTCACCAAGATACTGAAGGAGTTGAGGGTTGAGGTGAGGCCAAAGCTAGAGGGGAAAATGACAGGACCAGACCAGACACAAATGTACTTCACAACATAGTGTCTTCATCCCAGCTGTGTAGCAGCTGATGAAATAGGAGACTGCAATGGATTTCACTTTCCTGTTAAATCCTGCTGCATAAGAAGACTCAAATCTTTTCTGAAGCTTTAAAGACCACTGTAGTGACAGCTAGTTATTTCCTGAGTTTGTATGGAACTCAGAAGCCTGAGTTTAAACCAGCTTTAAAAGGCAAGGATGAAATCTTCAAGCTAAAAAAAAATCCCAACAACCATACACTCATTTGTTTTTCGGACTTCAGTTTGTGTGTTACCATTGTCATTTTGTGGAAAGGAATTGTAGATGTCCTCTGCCAGTGGAGACATCTTTTTTTAATCTCCATGAGATTACCCATGAGAATTCGTGGTTATTTCTGCCAAAAAATCACTTTGAATCATGGAGTCATTAAGGTTGGAAAACACCTCCAAGATCATTGTGTTCAACCCATTGTATCCTCTCTTCAATCCTGTTCTTCTTTGGACTATTGGGAATTAATTGTCAATTAATTCACTGTGAAGGTTTGGGAGTGGGATATTCTGCAGTTTCCTCATGTGTTGGCTGGGGCCTGTGAGCAGCTTGAAAGCTGAATTCCACTTTTTGTTATTGAAATTTGCCAGGAAGGTCATTTCCTCATGCATGTAACCCAAGAAAGTGTGCAGATTTGTTTTCCACCTTTGGCTTCCCGTTTAGCTAGTAACTGGGATAGAAATGCCAACTGAGTGTAATCCTGTGGGATTGGGTTTTTTTCATGATACACCTTCAGTTTCTAAAAACTGTTTCTCTTTTTCTTTAAAGCCTTTGGTTATTCCTCGGGGCTTTTTGCAGTAGAATAGGAACAGAATGTGAAGAAATCGAGTGTTTTCCTGACATTAGCACCTGGATAAATTCACTGAGCTTGATTTTTTTTACTAAATGGCACCTATGTCAATGACTCCTTGAGGAGTTTTGATTCCTTCTCAAATTTACTAAAGGCAAATGAGTGTTTCAGCTCTAGTGGAGGCTCCCAGGAAAAGGAGATCTCTGAGGCCTCCTGCTCCTGGATGGGATGAACAGGTAGACGATGGCTGGGGCCACAGCTGCTGGGAAGCACTGGAGGCAGTGGGTAGCTGCTCCCTGCTGCTGGCCTTGTCCATTATCAAATAAGAAAGCAAACAGCCCACTCAAAGTGCCGGGAATACACAGAGAGCACTCTGCTTGCCTTAAGCATGGGATAGGCACATGTATCTATGCAGTATCTGTGCAGCCCTATGAGGAGCAGCTGAGGTCACTTGGTCTGTTCACAGCCTGGAGGAGATTGAGGGGCGACCTCATTGCAGTTACAACTTCCTCATGAGGGGAAGAGGAGGGGCAGGCACTGATCTCTTCTCTGTGGTGACCAGTGACAGGACCCGAGGGAATGGCCTGAAGCTGTGTCAGGGGAGGTTTAGGTTGGATATTAGGAAAAGGTTCTTCACCCAAAGGGTGGTTGGGCACTGGAACAGGCTTCTCAGGGAAGTTGTCACAGCACCAAGCCTGACAGAGTTCAAGAGGCTTTTGGATGATACTCTCAGGCACATGGTGTGACTCTTGGGATGTCCTGTGCAGAGCTCAGTGATCCTTGTAAGTGCCTTCCAACCTTGGATATTCTGCATGATTCTATGATCTTTAGGAATGCTAAGGAAGCAAGTAAGAACATAAAAAATTTAAAAAAGCAAAACCAGTATCGCACTTGTGTACCGTGAAGGAAGAGAAGTGCTGCGGCCTGGCAAACTAAAGCAGGAAAAGTACTTGGAGAATGCGGGCATCGATCCCGCTACCTCTCGCATGCTAAGCGAGCGCTCTACCATTTGAGCTAATTCCCCACCCTGCACTTTCCTCCAACGGGCGCGCACATATTCTCTTCTCGCGAGACACCGTACGCTGCCGGCAGTTGCACTTCCCAGTTGGGTCTCCCACTGCGCTTGCGCAGAAGCGCGGCGGCCGGGGCTCGGCGGCGGCGCGCGGCGGGCCGGGCTGGGCGCTGGGCGCGCGCTGGGGCAGGAGGATGCGCCCCGCGGTGAGACCCGGAGCGGGGCGGGAATGGGAATGGGGTGGTGGGGGGCTGCGAGGGGCTGCACGCTTGGAGGGGCTGCAGAGGGCTGTGTGCCGGGGGCGCTGTACAGGGCTGTGCCTGGGGCGGCTGTGTGTTTGGGAGGCAGGATGCACAGGGCTGTGCGCCGGGAGGCTGCGGGGGGGGTCCGAGCGCGGGGCTGTGCTCCCGGCAGACACTCTGCCGGGGGACCGGGGTGGTCCTTTGAGCCGCCCTGGGGCTGCACTGAGGTCAAAACAGAACGAAACAAACAAACAAAAAACCCTCACAAAATACTGAGCCACCTCAGCTGATGGAGCAGCGCGGGAGCGGCCCGGATGGCCGCGGTTACTGTTCGGGGAGGCTTCGCCTTCCCCGCAGCCAGGCACGGTCTTTGCGGGCACAGAGCCCGCACCCCGCCCCGCTGTTCCCTGCGGGAGCTCGGGGGGCTCGGCCTGGAAGCCGAGTGGGCAGCCAGGGGAGCCCCCAAAATACCTGCTGCCGGGGATGCAGCTGGCAACGATGGTGGGACGTGCGGGCTTGGTCCCTCCGGGTGTCTGGGGCAGTTGGAGATGCGGCAGCTCAAGTGCCTGATGAGCTAACCAGCTGCTGGCAGCTGGTTCCCCCCGCCTTGCCGTGCGTGTTTTCACCTCCTCTGAAAACAACACCCAGAAAAGTGGTATCTGGCACTGGGGTGAATCGTGAGGTCTTTTCCCTCAAGAAATCGTTCCGTATGCCCTTGTGCTCTAGCTGAAATAAAGACAACATCTCCTCTCTGGACAAGGAGGGAGTTACTTGCTCTGGAACAGGGATTTTTGGGCGCCTGTCGAAATGGCAGATGAGGGCATGTGCTGGAGCCTTCTGGGGAGCTGCATTGATGAGATGGGATTTTGGTGCCCTGCTTTTGGTGGGAAAAGGGGATGCTCTCAATCAGGGTGTGCATAGCAAAGCAGGTGAGAGCATTGGGACCTTTCTTTACCGGCACTATACTGAGGAAGATGAGGCTATTGATAGGCTTGCCACTTTAATTTAAATCGGTGTTCAGCAGCAGTGATATCCAGGACTTAGCTAAAAACCTGTCATTCTAGTAAATTGGTTGCCTTGTGCTTGGTCACTTTTCCTCCCCTCTGATGTTCTTGAACAAGAAAAGGCAAAACCAAGCAGCATTGATGGCCCATGCAAAATTCTTTCTGAACCAAAGGGATTACCAAATAACCTTGTTGTATAACCTCGGTGGTAGCTGCTTAACACCTTGTGTTTGGAAAGCAGCAAAGTCCTGAGCTGAGCTGGCTGGGCTTCAGGCAGTGATGCCTGTCACCAAGTTATTGCAATTCACTGAGCAGCAGGGAATTTGGCGAGAGCAATGGGACCTGCTGCGGCTTTTGCTCCATCGAATTTCTGGGTCCTTTACACTGTTTGCTTTCCTGCAGTACTTTTGTACTTCTACTGTGGCTGTGTTCAAGTCATCGTTCTGTTGGCTTCAAAACATTCTCTGCTCAATATTACACCCTTCCTAAGGGATTTGCCTTAGTTCTGCCTCTGATATACA